TCGATGGAAAACTTCCGAAACCCTAACTTTCCATTAGTGGCTGAAATTTTACAGTGGCTTATGATTAGGTAATTATGATTTTTGTCGGCTTTAACATTAATCACCACTTAATAATATCTTAATTTATATAATTAAGATTTGATCCATCGATTGAGATATTTGGAGACATTGACACAGAACAGGATCGGGTCATCTTTATTAGATCCTGTGCTCAGACAATGGTTTTTAAATGTCTACTTGAGATTAAATTTGTAAATTCTTACACATATTTATTATCTTATTTAAAGGCAACAAAGGCTCAAATTAATTTAAACACAAAAAAGTTGTATATGTCTGACGGACACGCAGTTCAAGAACTTCTTAAAATATCGCAACTTTTATACGAAGCGTCCAAACAATCGGATCCAACAAATACTGAAGAAAGCGATACAACAGATAATGTGTTGTCTGAATCAACAATACATTCAAAAGTAAATTATTTTATATTTTATTAAAATTGTCAATGATTTTCGTTTGCATTTACTTTTTAATATACAGTAAGTTAAAACTCTTAACTTAAGAGAATGGATATATTTGTAGAGATTGCGAATAAATATTCTTTATGTTTAAATTAAAATTATTTTGAAATCCTAGTTGAATGAACTCAAAGTGTCCCGTCAGTTGACATCAGAGATCACCCAAAGGGGCGCCAATTTGTATGACTTACTCGCACAGGAAATTCAAATCAGAGTAATTAAAAAATTTACTTAAATAAGTATTCATTTTTTAATTAATGATGTTTGTATTAATATGTGAATTATTAGGAACAAAGGGCATCAGTGATGGCCCGACAGCTGGAAATTCCCGAAATTGAGAGAAGTATTAGAGAATCGATTCGTGATCTTCAGAATGAGATCGAGAATATAAACTATAAGATCGATAACGTGGCCGCAGATGAGGCCAATCTAGACGTCAAGATTGAGAGGAAAAAAGCAGAATTAGATAGAAATCAAAAGAGATTACAAACCCTTCGTTCCGTTCGGTATTTCAGGAAATATTCTTAGTTTACATTTTATTTATCAAATGTTTGACTGTTAGTCCGGCGTTTATGGATGAATACGAGAAACTGGAGGAAGAGTTGGCCTCCATTTACGAGCTCTATATAACTAAGTTTAGATGCCTTTCCTTTTTGGAGCAACAGTTAGAGGAAATTGAAGAAACAGAACTTCAAAAGATTCACGTCTTTATAAATAATCACTTGATATTAGAGTTATTTTTAACAGAATTTCTGTATCGACAGCAAAGAGAGGAGCAAATCAAGCAAATGGTGGATCAGATGAAACAGGAGGAGCTGTTGAGGACAGAGACAGAGACCGGCGCTGCGGATGACATACTCGATGGCAACGACGACGAGGGCAGCGATGAGATCGACGATAATTTGGGTCCGGAAAAGGAGAAGACGAGACGACCCATGAATACCGTGACTCTCAATAAGAGTCGAGACGCCACAACTGGAAGGGTTCGCATGTTTGGGTCGCTTCTGGATGAGGAGAAAGACGATAGTCTGGACTCGGATTTAGATTTGGATGAAGACGACGATGCGTCAGATCTGGACAGTGAGGATGAGATGGAAATTATGAATCTGACAAACAATCGCAAACCAGAGCCCAAAAAGCCTAACGAAGACACACAGAAACCAAATAATAATCCCAACGATAGTGACAATGATTTCTAAGATTTTGCTGAAGAATTACATTTAAAATGAATACAATTTTATGGTTTGTAAAAATTAATTTAATTTAATACAATTAATTTGTTTTCACAGTTAACAGGGTTTTAAAATAATATGCTTTAAAACACATTTCAGATCTAAAATATTTATCTATATATAGAGTAAAATATGAGAGAAGTCTACATTAATTATTAAAATAAATAAATGAATTAAAATAAAATACATTTCTTTGAATATATATTTTCAAACACTTTGAGTTTAAATTGAGTTCATAAGTTGATTACATAATTAGAAACTGAATACAATTTATTTTAAAATAAAATAAAATATTGTGTATAAGTTTTAAAAATAACATAATTGTGTTCATTTGAAATAGCAATAAATTTTGAATCAAAATATATGACAGTTAAGAGATTTGAATCACATTCAAGCGATTGTTGTCTTATCTTTTCTCCATAAAACAGATCTTTGAATACTATTATAGTTTTATAAAAGACTAGACTTTAAAAAACTTAACATTTCATCAATAAATAGATACAATAGCAGTGCAGTTGCGATAATACTTTGGCATAGATTTGACATCAGATTATATTTGATAATTATTTGGTTTTACTTTCAATTATATAAATATTGAAATTATTAACACTATAGAGAACTCAGAGGAATGTCCTGTAAATAAAACAAACAAATGATTAGTGAATGAATGGGTGCGTGAAGTGAAAGTGAGTGCAATACCCGGTCATTAATGTTAAACTCGACTTTTTTGATGCGCTCGACATCCGAGTCCTCGTTATTGAGTTGATGTGCGGCACAACTCGAGTCAAAAGTTGCGGTCTTTTTGGACTGATTTGGTTTGTAATGGTTTGACTGATTATGAGGTTCTGTGATGAGGTGATGAAGGCTTGAATAAATGTCTGTTCCGTTCAAAATGGGTGACGGAATGACAGAATTACTAATGAATTGATTATGTGATGAACGCGAAGACGACGGATTGATTGGAGTTTTATTGCTTAAACTTTGCATTGAATTGATTTTTGTGTAAATTTGTGCATCAGTTAAACAATCACTTATTGAATCCATTAAATGGCTGTTAGTTTTGTCGATAACAGCATTCATGACATCAATAGTAATACTTTGGGCCAAATTCTTAGCGAAAACGTCTAAATCCTCGACATCTTCGTTATGGTTATCATTGATTACATGTTTAGGAATCAATGGTTGAGATTCAATGTTAACTAACGTGTAGTTGACTTGAGAACAGCTCTTCTGTTTGACTGTCTGTGGTTTAGACGTGTTTTTGAAGCTGTCTTTACGACAGGGACAGTAGCTTTGCGACGATTGCGTGCGTTTGGCGTTCAGTTTCTTTGGCTTCGAGTCGATGAGTTGCTGGATGTAAGACGTGTTGTCTTTCTCGGTCTTCTTGAGCTTCTCCTTCAGGTACGCCACCTCGTGCTCCAAGTCCTCCACCTTCAGGATCAAGATATCGATCTTATGCTCGCAATGTGTCCTCTCTTTCTCGCATACATTCAGCGTTTGAATGATCTTTTGCTGCGATTCCTCTATCAATGACTTAATTATCTGAAAGATTCGCCACAAACGCAACACTACTAACAAGAGTGACAACTCTTTGCCGCCACTCTCGTCGTGAAAGTCATGTAAATAGAAGACAAGACTTAATAT